TCCTTTAATATATTCATTATGTTTTTGTTACAATCAGCCCTAATATACACGTGTTTGTTGCAATGTTTATTGGGTATTAAGCTGTAATTAACTCACTTATGTACAGGTATATACTGTTTCAAGTCTACGAGGTATAATTATTAAAGAAAAGTCTGATGAACGAAAATAAATCACATTGTATGTTGCAGTTAACCCGATTATATCAACTCAAGCATCTCCAAGTAGTACAGTTAAAGAAGGAGATGATGTGACCTTGACCTGTGATGTAACCAAGGCCAACCCAACAGTTACTAGCTATGTTTGGAGTAGAACTCAAGACATAAACAATGGCGTCCATAACCAGGCCTCATTTACCATTAATCAGATACAGGTGGAGCAGAATGGGACATACACGTGTTATGCCACAGCACAGTCCAGTCGTCATGGCAACCTGGTCGGGGAGAGCAATGTGACTATGACAGTTCAGTGTTAGTATATAGTTACACACATCTTTACACACCTTCTATAAATAAAACTAAACTAATAGTAATCTAATGTTTATGCTTATTGTTGGCAAATTTATTTGTGGCTTCTGTGCAAACAATTGGTCAAAATTAAGGAATTGTTTTGTGTTTCCTGTGACTCTGGATAGCAATATTCAGGATTGATGATGTTCATTTGTATTTTGAATGAAATAAACATTCCAGACCTGCGTGTCTCAGTAGAAAGTATCCCAGCCACACTGGAGAACAGCAGTGTTAGCATTCACTGTAAACCGCAGGGAATTCCTGGTTCATTTGTTTATAGCAACTGGCGATTCCTGCCATTTACTGGAGGACAACCTGTAGATCTACAGAGGAACCAGAACCCTCTGATACTGAACAATGTACAATACACAGATGCTGGGACATATATATGTACTGCTAGTAATTCCCAGTTCACAAAGACTTCAAATGTATCTTTAGCTGTCAAATGTAAGTGATTATTGTGGGGACATTATTTTGTTTGACAACATTATTGGTATATACTTGCTCCAAATGTTGGTACAGAATACTTGAAGCAAAGTGGAATTAAATGATGTGATATATCTATGTCTTTTGAATGAAATGTTTTGTAAACATCATTCCACATGATAATAGTTCCCTTCCTTCACTGTGTACAAGCTAGGGCATTAATCATGTCAGCCTTAAACTGGTAAGCACAGCTGTGGTGTATAATTACATTGGCTTGAATCCAAATCCTTGAATTGAATGACATATATTGAAAAAAAGTATTGTACTTCTCTTTTGTGTTCAGATGCAGCAAAGAAGGACCCATCATCTGACCGAGTCACAAACCTGGAAGTTTCAGCAGACATTGGAGAGTCTGCCACCTTGACCTTGTATGTCATTGCTTACCCAAAACCCACTTCTTACTCCTGGAGAAAAATAAACGGCAGCTTACCTTCTACATACAACCAGACAGATCTGGAGTATGAATCAACACTGAGAGTTGACAGGTTGAGAGACAGTGACTACGGCACCTATGTATGTAGTGTGGACAATGGTATTGGACAGTCTGTGTTCTTATTTAAACTGGAAAGAAAAGGTAACTGCGATGGATGTAAACAGGAAATATGTTTTATGAGCATAAGTGTGCATGTTTTGAATAACTGTTACAAAATGTATTCACTTTATCTTAGGCCTCGGTCATACTGCGCTTGCAACTCTTTAGACGCGTTTTTACTAAAAAAAATCTATTGGTCGCTTGCAACTCTTTAGACGCGTTTTTACTAAAAAAATCTATTGGTCACTTGTTTGACAGCTGAATAACTACCTGAAAGGAAAATTGTCATTGTTGGTAACCTCACGCATCAGCGCTTGGTATGACGTCTTGCAGCTTCATTTCATCCTATTTTACAAGCTTGTCTTGGCTTGACAATATTTCGTTAGGTTAACGAAGGTCGCATTCTGCACGATGTGACTGCACGGGTGATGTTCAGGCTCAGGATGTGGGTGAGGTAGACAGAAAGACGCTAGGATGTTATAAGCGCAGAGTAACGGAGACTTATGGAAAAAATTGTGTTCAGATCATTATCACGTATCTGTGCGGGTTCGTGATTATCCTCTGTATTAATACTTTAATTTGAACCATACCTCTATAATTTTAAAATTTCAGGAAAGCCTGATGCACCTTCCAATCTTGAAATGTTCAACGTATCAGCCATCTCTGTCACTGTGCAGTGGGTTTCAAACAAAGATGGAGGATATCCACAGAAATTTCTGGTTGAGTATAAAACCGTCGATGGGCCATGGATATCAATGTCAGCAGTTACAGATCCAGGTTATAAACTAACTGTATTGAAGAAATTGCCCAATTTACAACCAAATACTAACTACATGTTCAGAGTGGAATCAATGAATGGCTATCAAGGTGGGAGTGGTAAACAGTTTGCTAGTGGAGGATATTCTAACACAATCACTGTGAAAACGAAGGGTAAGAGTATTAACTAAATTAGATGAAAATAATGTATCAGTTTTGATTTTTTCTGTGACCATAAAATTACAAAAAAATAAAGACTAAAAATAAAATCCATATATAAATATTCTTCTTAAATATCTGTTTATCAGCATATTTACTTTACGTCTACATGTACACGCATAACCTACAGTCATAAGATTATATATGTGTGCATTTTTTCCATCTACCATAAGAAGATTAGATACAATTATAACGTCAGAAAATACAATAGAGGGAGTGTGATAATGATAGGGTT